ACTATATATACACATATATACACACATACTTTTATATACACACATATATACATATATGTATATATACTCATATAATAAGTTCTAACATTCTATAGTTTACAGAACCAGTTCAACTCAATTTTTCAGAAGTTTTAGGTGACTATGTCCAAAAAGCAGCATTAATGTCACAGATGGGACTCGGCTCTGGTCCCTGGATACAAAATACAATGTTTTTATTTTATTTTATTTTTTCATTTGAATTTTATTTTATTTATTTATTTTTTATACAGCAGGTTATTATTAGTTATCTATTTATACATATTAGTGTATATATGTCAATCCCAATCTCCGAATTCATCCCCTCCCCCCCCCGCTTTTCCCCAATGCAATGTTTTTATTTCTGGATGTTTCACCTTTACCCCTTTAGATACATTTTTCCTTACTGCATTGTTGAACATATTTGAGATAATTTAATAATTATTATTATTCTAATCTGGCCTCAGAAAGCCAGCCACTGATTTTTCTCAAAGGGATACAGACAATGTAGTATTAGAATTTCTCACCATGGAAGAAGTGGAAAATTATTTGTCATAAAGAGAGAAGACCAGTGGCTACAACATCTTCACATTTTCACAAGTCTTTGCTATGTCTCAAAAGGATTCACTGTAGAATGTGTGCAGAAAAAAAATCTGTCATACTGAGATATGGAAATGCTGGCATCATATAGACCTTTTCCAACCAGCTACAAAAGCTATGAAGAGAAAATTATATAGATCTACTGAACTGTACCCATAAAAAGTCATTTTTATGTTAGCAAGATTTGAGAAACCAAAGCCATCAGAGTGTTGCAATTGGCAGAAGGGAATAGAAGCATAGTCTGAAATCACACATACTTACCTGAATTCCACAGAATAATTAAATAAATAATTATTAATTAAATAATTAAATAACTAAATAAAAAGATCTATCAAGTTGTTTGCACAGACCTAATCCTAAGGCATACAAATTTGTTGACATATAGGCCACAGTGGGCTCTGACTGTCTTCTTGAGTCTCAAAAGTATCCTGTCCAGATATCAGCGGGTTCTAGCTTTTTCTCTGAATTTCTAGCCAGGTCACTTTCTCTGTTTCTCTCATGTGCCCCAATGTGAGATGTCAAGCAAAGTTATCATGTTCCCAGGTGAAAATTAATGTGTATGTAAGTGGTTCAATTAAAAAGAGAAAGGCCCAAACATGTTTACTCTGGCTGTCTCTTGCTCACCCTCTGTGGTTTAAAGAAATATGTCTCCCCCTTGCTTCCCAAGAAGAAATTTTGAATCATGTGGCTGCCCCCCTACTCCATATCCCCACCATTTCTCACCAAATTAATTAAACCAGTGATGGCAAACTGATCCACAGAATGACCAACTTGGAGAAACAAACACAATTGCCTTAGCCAGTTGGATTCCCAGTTTGAAAAACTGAATGGAAATCAAGGAAAGAAATACTCTTTTTAAGCAGAAAAGCTAGAATGCTCCAGACAGGTCGAGAGCAGCTGAGTGTTGTTAATGGCAAAGCACCAGTCTTTAAGTTTCTGTTTGTAGGCATTTAAAGCCTCCTTTAATCCAGAAATACCATCATCCATCTCTAAAACTGAGCCCTTACATTTTTGTAGATTTCATCCACTTTTCACTCCATAAGCATCCTTACAGTAACCTTCCCTTTGTTCGAACTAGCCTGAATGGTTCTCTACTTTCAAACCAAAGAGCTCTGATTAAGAAAATGCCAAGGAAGATATCTCACAAAAGTCCTCTCATTATACTGTGACTAACCTCTGACTCTGAGGGTGAGCCCTGCAGTTCTTGAATTCATCCTTCTACTCAGAACACAGCCCTTAGAACTCCCCAGAGAGACCCCTGTGTCCTCTTGTGATGCTTCTCACCGATTCTCACCATTTGCCCTTTGCTCTTGTGTTACAGACTCTCAAATAAGCCTGTGCCTATTATACTCATCTAGTATGAACCTGGCATCCTGCTGGTCTTCATACTCTGCCTGAGCAGAATCTTTCACATACCTCCTGATAGGACGGCCAGTCCTATTACTGTGTTTACTTTAGCTTTGATCTTTTGTTGTTTTACCAGGAACAAACTTAGTTTTCCAGGATATTCTCAAACAACAAAGATAGAGCTAGCTAAAAATTGTCTTTTTATAGACCTCATCCCAGAGAATTTGAGTTCAATGAGCCTGAGAAGGAGCCCAGAAATCTATATTTTATCTAGCTCCCAGGTTGTGCTGATACAATTGATTTTTGAACCAATTTTGATAAACACTGCTCTGGAGCACTGGATTCCAAATCCAACAGGAAACTAATGGATTATTATAACCCCCTGGGTAGCATTTAAAATGATCTCTTTTGGGATCACACCCATGAATGTTCTGATTCAATATCTCTGAAGAAGAGGATGGAACCATGCTAACTGACCTGAAAAATTGAACGGAAAAGCAAAACAGACACTCTTTATACTGTTTACACCAGGTAGAGTTTCTTCTGGTGTGACTCAGACTGTGGACCATTTACATCAAATTCATCTGCTGTGCTTGTTGCATGTGGATTTGTACTTCTGTAGACGTAGTGGTCACAATTTCTGGCAGAACGTGGGGAATCTACTCATTTGAAAAATTCCTCAGGTGAGACTTATGTGTTTCTGCCTTTCCCTTCTTCTAATCATTGATCATCACTGATTAATGAGCATTACAGTATTTTATAGCTTGTTTCCAAGTTTGAAAATGCATCCCTTGTTAAAAATCACTGGAACTGAATTAAGCTTTCTCATTTCATGAGGTATAATTCATGAACTATCCATCTGGATCCTCAGAAAATTTTCCATTTAAATGCTCTTATTGACATGAATAACGTGTAAGTAGCCCTGTTTGGTTTGGAAGGCTACTTCAGTATTTCACAAGAATCTCTTAAAAGTGTATTAATTTACTGTGTCATTGTGGATCCCTTTTCTTCTGCCCAAGCACCAAACACTACTGTATAAATCACCCCCAAATAAAATTTTTGTGTATCCCTCCCTTCCAAGAAGCTCCAAAACCTGCCCAAAGTCAGCAGAGGAAAGGAAATAATAAAGATTAGAGTATCAATAAATGAATCAGAGAACAAAAAAACAATGGGAAAAAAATCTATGAAACTAAGAGTTGTTTTTTTTTAAAATAATTAATATCAACAAACTCTTAGCTAGACTGATCAAGAAAAAAAATGAAGGCTCAAGTAAAGAAAATCTGAAATGAAAGAGAAGACATTATAACTGATGCCATAGAAACAAAAATCATAAGAAACTATTATGAACAATGATACACAAGCAAATTGGACAACGTAGAAGAAATTGATGAATTCCTAGAAGCACACACCTACCTAGATAGACTGAAGAAGAAATAAAAAGCCTGAATTGACAAAGGCGACAAGAATATACAATGGAGAAAAGACACTCTTTTCAATAAGTGGTGCTGGGGAAACTGGAAAGCTACAAGTAAAAGAATGGAGTTAGAACATTTTTTCACATCATATAAAAAAATAAGCTCAAAATGGATTAAAGGCCTAAGTATAAACCCAGAAACCATAAAACTCCTAGAAGAGAACATAGGCAGAACCCTCTTTGACATAAATCATAGCAATTTTTTTTTGGATCTGTCTCCTAAGCAAAAGAAACAAAAGCAAAAATAAACCAATGGGACCTAATTAAACTTAAATGCTTTTGCACAGCAAAGAAACCGTTGACAAAGTGAAAAGGCAATCTACTGAATGGGAGAAAATATCTGCAAATGATATGACCGATAAAGGGTTAATATCCAAAATATATAAACAGCTCATATAACTTAATATCCAAAAGCAAACAACCCAATTAAAAAACAGGCAGAAGACCTGAATAAACATTTTTCCAAAGAAGATATACATATGGCAAACAAGCAACAATTAGCATCACTAATCATCAGAGAAATGCAAATCGAAACCACAATGAGATATCAGTTCACACTGTCAAAATGGCTAACATCAAAAAATCTACAAATAACAAATGTTGGTGAGCATGTGGAGAAAAAGGAGCTCTCTTGCACTGTTGGTGGGAATGTAAATTGGTGCAGCCACTATAGAAAACAGTATGGAAGTTCATCAAAAAACTAAACATAGAACTACAATATAATCCACGAATTCTACTCCTGGGCATACATCTGAAGAAAACAAAAACACTAATTTGGAAAGGTACATGCACCCCGATGTCCCAATGTTCATAGCAGCATTATTTACAATAACAAAGATATGGAAGCAACCTAAGTATTCATCCAGAGATGAATGGACAAGATGTGGTGTGTAGTAGTATGCACAATGGAATACTACTCAGCCATAAAAAGAATGAAACTCTGCCATTTGCAATGGTGTGGATAGACCTAGAGGGTATTATGCATAGTGAAATAAATCAGACAGTGAAAGAAAAATACTGCATGTTACCACTTATATGTGGAATCTAAAAATTTTTTAAATAATTGTATATAATAGAAAAAGAAAGCCTGAATCAATAATAAATAAGGAGATTCAATCAATAATCAAAAACCTCCCAATAAAGAAAAGCTCAGGACCAGAGGGTGTCACAGGTGAATTATACCAAACATTTAAAGAAGAATTAATATTAATCCTTTCAAAACTCCTCCAAAAACTGGAAGAGGGTATACTTCCAAACTTATTTTATCAGGCCAGCATGACCCAATACCAAAGCCAGACAAAGACACTACAAGAAAAGAAAACTACAGTCCAGTATCCTTGATGAACATAGATGCAAAAATCCTCACCGAAATACTAGCAAACTGAATTCAACAGCACATTAAAAGGATCATACACCTGACCAAGTGTGATATATCACTGGAAAGCAAGGTTCAACATAGGCAAATCAAGAAATGTAATACATCACATTAACAGAATAAAGAATAAAAATTACATGATCATTTTCATAGATGCAGAAAAAGCATTTGACAAAATTCAACATTTGGTTGGATAAAATCTCTCAACAAAGAAGGATGTCATACCATTTGTGACAACATGGATGAACCTGGAGAACATCATGCTAAATAAGTGAAATAAGCCAGACATAGGAAGACAAATACTAAACAGTACCACTTATGTGAGAAATCTAAAATAGTCAAACTTATAGTAGCAGAGAGTAAAATGGTGGTTAACAGTGGCTGGGTGGAGGGGTATGTGGGGATGTACTAGTCAAAGGGTACTAAGTTCCAGTTATGCTAGTTGAATAAATCCTAGATATGTACTGTACATCATAACCTATAGTTAACAATACTGTACTGTATTCTTAAAATTTTGCTATGAAGGTAGATCTTATGTTAAGTGTTCTTGTCATACATAAAAAGTAATAATAAATAAAGAGTCAGGAAGAAACTTTTGGAGGTGATGGATATGTTAATGGCATGGATGTGGTGATGGTTTCAAGGGTGTACACTTATCTCCAAACACATCACATTGTATATATTAAATATGTACACCTTTTCATATGTTAATTATGCCTCAATAAAATGCTTTAACAAGTGAAATAAATTAAATGAGTGGCAAAATAAAACAAACCAGTCTTTAACTCTGAAAACCCTTACTAATTGACTGTTACGAGTTTGCTACTATACAACTCATCAGTGTGGTTTGAAAAACATGATTTGTTAAGCTATAATGTGAGAATAAAATTTTTCATTAAATTTTTCCTTGGTCACAGCAATGTTGTCTTCTATGATTAAGAGAAATGTAACAGAAAGGTGAAGGATAAGAAAAGAGTGAAAAGATGATTGAGGAAGCGGAGCAAGCCAAAGAACTATGTGTACCATTCCACTTTTATTTAGGGTAAGTGTGTATTTTATAGTCTTTTTTCCTCAGTTTTCACCAGAGTTCCTATCCTGCAGAGAACAATTTTTATTAATAAAACTAGTGTGAGAGTATAAATATGTGTCATTGTCTGGAAGAAGATGGAATACAGCGATTGAGGTAATAGTGAGAGAGGAGAGAGGAGGGGCTGAGCATGGACCAGAGAGCGAGGGAACAGAGTAACATGGCAGGTGACTAGAACCCAAGGAGAAATGTTATTTGGTGAGAAGTTCCCCTTGTTAGGATGGCAGAAGGACATTTAAGAATGAGAACATATTAATATCAAATTCAAAGTGTCTGTGTTTGTGAAAAGCATAACCCTTCCCGTATCCCAAACCCTCATTAAAACCGTTACCATTTCTGTAGGTCCCCCATAGGGTGAACCATGGCATGGAAAAGGGACAGTATTTGAGGACAAGGCAAGATAATTTTCAAACTCAATTGATTTAGCAGAAGCAGGAACTCAGAACCAAGAGACTCCAAGAAACGTAGCCCTCCTTTCATTCAAGGAATCCTTGGAGAGAATAGGAGGAAAGTTGAGTCTCTTAATGCACATGTGATTCATTTGAATCTTAAATTATAAGGTGGTATCAGGGGCTTCCTTTTATCTGGGCATTATCAATTTCTTTCTCTTACTTACCTATGCTCCATGTTCTCTAAATCTCATTCCTCTATTCCCATACCCTCCATCTAAGAATTCTGTACAAAATTTTGCAAATTTGATAGCTTTTGGTACCTATCCCAGCAATGGACATAGTATTCCATTGTTTAACCAGGTCATTTAACCAGGTCCCAGATAACCAGCAATATTAATTCACTTTGATTTTCTACATTTAATAATAGGAGGAAGAGGATACTCATAATTAAGGCTATACAAGCCGGGGATTTCATTAGAAAAGCAGTTCTTCCTAATGTATGCCATGCATTGTGCAAAACCTTAGGGAAAAGTTGTGAATGTGATAGATCTGGTTTCTAGGCACATGAAGTTCTCTGGCCATTCCAGGAATACTGGTTTGTACATCTTCAAACCTATGATTATAACCAATACACACAAAGTCCTCCATCAACCAAAAAAATTCCCTTTTATATCTACTAAGACAGACAGAAAAGTAGTTGAACGCATTTAGCTCAAAGAAAGTTAAAAAAAAGTGTTAGGGATCAAGTGTCAACTAACATCCCAATTCTCAAGCATTCTTTGATTGAAGTTTTACAAAAGAAATACTTTTAATATTTATTAGAATTGTGAAGTTAAGAATTTGATGGTTTTCAAATTACTTCTAAGTAAGACTAGCTCCTTAATTTGTGGGATCCAGTGCAAAATTAAAATGCAGGCCCTTGTTAAAGTATTCTTAAGAATTTTTAAGAAAGTGACAGCAGAACATTGAAACAAGCACATAGCGTTTCTAAGCCTGGGACCGTGCAAATACAGAGGTCTCATGCCATGAAGGCAGCCTGTCTCTAAGCTTACAATTCACTTAATTTGTTCTAGAATTTTATTTAATATTTGACAAAGCAAATGCCCAATGGAGGAGAAAATATAGCGGTAACCAAGAAAGCAAGTAAACAAATTTTTTCACAGTATCACCTAAGAAACTGGTATGGAAACTTACATTATAATATTTTAAAAAATGTTTTCATCTAATATCCACAACTGTTAATTGCCAAAACATTCCAAAGGTCAGATTAGTAATCCATTTCATTTAGGACTTTAAGGTTTAGATGGTAATCAGTCTGCAGAACTTACTTTAAAGCAGGAAGAAATCATCAAATTTTCCCTTAAATGTGAATGAATCTAAGACATTTTACTTTCTACTGAAAATAGAAAAATGATTTAGAAAATAGAAGTTTATCAGACAAGATGTATAACTACAAGAAGATATCCTGTAAGATGAGGTGCCTTTTAACAAGCAAGGTTCCTTAATTAATTATGGGCAAGTTACTTTCTAGTCAGATGTAAGTAATTGCACAAAAACGGACTGGAAATAAGTCATATCTGAGTTCTTACATTTTCTCATTTTAATTAGTGCATATTATGTGCTTTGCCTCAGTTAGCCCTTCCATAAATAATTTATTTCCTACTGCTCAGAGCTTCAGTTTCTTCATCTCAAAAAAAATGAGAAGTTTCAGCTAATTGAGTTCTGAATGCTCTGCCAGTCCTAATTAAACTCAGCATTACTTATTGTTAACATACTGCCCACAAATTCCTATGCAGGAGACTTCAGAATTTTAAAAAAAGAATAAGCCACAGTTCCTTACCACAGAGTCTACAATCCAGAAGGCAAGGCAAGCCAGACAGTCAAGAAGTGTAATGTAAGACAGCTCCAAAATTCTAGACCTTTAATTCTAAACAAAAATCTTACCAAAGAAGCACAGAAACTTTTAAGGTTGAGATATGATATAAAATTAATAGACTGGAAGCTTGTAATACAAATCAATCTCCTTAAACATTAGATGTAGATGCTAGAGGCCTGAGTGAGTTTTTAAGCTGTCTTATAGCCAGTACTGGGGGAGTTCTGCTGCCATGCCAAACATCCAGATGGCTAGGGTGATATTTACCTTGTAAGTGCGCTTCCTCCATATTCGGATGTGTTGACTGAATACATAACACGGACACAATTTCAGACCACATTTATCTTCATCACTGACTATTGCAGTAAAGTGTCCATGAGACAAAACTTGGGCTTCATTATTCCACTTGTTTTGTATTCTGGGAAATCTTATTTGGTTGGCAGCCTTTTCAACATTACATGGCTTTCATGTCACACATTTGGTTCAGCTGATATAATCAAGGTTCTAGTGCATCATTCATCTTGGAATAAACAATGAAAATCAGGTAGATTAAAAAGTGACAGCTTAAAATAGAGCATGAAATATACCCAAAGTCACAGAAATTGAATTAATATGGCTTTAACATGATTTTCAAAGGTCTCCAGTCTGGAGTTTGGGCCCAATTTCCTGGCTGGTTTAAAATGAGACCACAGATCTTAAGTGATGTGCCTGAGGAGAGGCCATGAGTCAGTGGCCGAACTAGCCAGGCCTGTGAGCAGAGAGGCTGCAATGGATAATAAGCATTATGTGTTCTGAACTTCAAAAGAATCAAGAGCACAATTTTCATTAATAAAAAATGTGCTTACTTGAAATGGTAACTCCATAGATATCAACATGGAACATGTTGTAATAGTGTATGTTATAGGTTGAGATCCCAGGGGAACAGATATGGGGATGGAGATTTGCAAGTGGTTGGCTTATTGTGGAGTGTCCTCAGGAGCAATACCTGTAAGGAAGTGAGGGCGGCAGGACTGGGCAGAGGGAGAAGTCGAATGTGATGCATCTGCAACAGAGGCCTCGGCCACTCCCACAGGGAGCCCTGGGGCTGGTTTGGTTCTCTAGATATGTCCCAAATTGAAGCAAGGGGCTAGGCCTCTCTACCCTGAGGAGGGCCTCAACCTGGAGCAGTCAGTTCCTGACAGGTGGGGGCATGGGTGCCTGGGTCCTGGAGACAGGATCTGGGCTGTGCAGCTCAGCATCCACTAGAGTTTACCCCTTGCATCACTCAGATCTGCTGTTCCTCCCATCTGAGAAGAGTTCGTCCAGGATGGATGGAGACCACTCTGGATGGTCTCTTTTCCAGGGAAAACTTACCTAAGGAAGGCTAACAAGATGAACTGCAGCCTCCTTGGTTACAGATAGTCTCAGGGCTGCAACTAGTGCTTATCATTTCCTTGCTCAACTACCAATTCTAGATTACTCTCATCTTTAACTAGCACTCCTGCTAGTCTACGGGGCTCACATGATGTGGTGACCCTGACTCTCATCCCTGAGTTTTAGAGCCCCATGACCTTCTTAAAAATATGGCTTCTGAACTTGTCTATTTACTGTCAGAATCGGACAACAGAGAACCTGGCTGCTGCACTTGTCCATTTACTATCAAAATTAGGAAAGAAGCAAGAGACACCCTAGTGAATCATCTGGGAATCAAATATATTCTTTCCTGTCCCCACTGTGTAACAACAGCCCTATTGTGTCTCCTGATCATTAGGGTCAATTACCCCTGCTAAGGATGGCTCTTCTTCCTTGCCTAACAGATGGTCTTGGTTCAAGGAAGCAAAAGTGACCTCATGAAAGCCTTCTCCCTCTTGGAACCTGACCTTTTGGACCAGTAGAGCCTAGGAGGGAAGGGAAGCACAAATTTTTCAACTGGATCTCTGAATCAATGGCAAATGTAGCATAGAGAATGCATAAGACTGAGGGTTAGTATAGAGACTATTAGTATATAATAATATTATATTATTGGTAGTATAGGGTAAGGTCAAAGATTAGAAGAAAAGTAAAATGATTATTGCAGCAATTCAAGCAAAAACTGAGGAGGGCCTAAAACAAGGCACCAGTAATGAAGAAGAAAGATCAGCATTTGAAACATTAAAAATATGAAATGAACCAGATGAATGCAAGGAGGCTCAAAAGGGAGGATGCGGAATCTCCGATAACTCCCATGATTCCAGCTCAGTTTACTGCTAAGAAGGACAGAGACACAGGATAAAGAGCAGGTTTGATTCTTTATTTGGTTTGTTTTCAAGGTGCCACAGGAGACAATATTTTAGGGTCACTTATTTTAGGTCACTGACCAATCAGTGACATTTAGGGGGCCCTCTGATTCCTTATTTGCTAGTTTCAAACTGCAGGCTTCCTTTAAATGACCTACACTCGGAAGTTAGCTGTGCCTTTGAATTCTGGGAACTGTAACAAGCATAACTCCACATCTTTTAAATGTTTTGTATAGATTACACTCCTATAGAAGAAATTATTAAAGTAAAACTATGTCATTCCTGTGACAATGACTCCCAAATCTGTATTTCCTTCCTGATTTTTCCAACTGTATATTCCAAACTACCTGCTGGACACTTTCACATGGAATTCATGCCAGCATCTCAGATTCAACACACCCAAATTCAATTAAGTCCCCCCTCTGCCAGTTTCCCTCATCTGTAAATAGGCTTCAGTTCCTGGAACCTCTATTTCTGATAAAGAACCCACCTTCCTCTCAGTTGGGTTTGCAAACTATAGCCCACAGGCCAAATTCAGCCTGTTCCTGTAAATAAAGTTTTATTGCAACGCAGCCAAATGAATTCATCTATATATTGTCTATGTCTGCTTTTGTGCCACAGTGGCAGAGTTGAGTAGTTGTGGCAGAGCCCCTATGGCCCCAAAAGCCTTTTGGGGCCCCAATTATTATTGTTGTTTTGTTATTGTTATTATTATCATCTGAACCTTTACAGCACAAATTTGCTGACACCTGCTCTAAGTCAGCCAGGATCAAAATCTGAGTCATGTTACACTTACTTCCCCCTTTCTCTCACCTCATCTGCTCCCTGCCCTTTAAATGTTACTACTACAGATATCTCTCACTCTCTCTCTCTCTGCTCTCACTGAGCCTAACCTATTTCAACACTCTGCAGACTCTTAACATGCTCTCTTACAGAAATGCCCTCGCAGATCTACCTGGCTTCTCTCTCTACCCTTGGTGATATGACAAACTACAAATAGTCCCTCCATCTGTTGCTTGTCTATGGGGAAGGGAGGAGGAGGGGAGTGTGCTGGTCAGGGGAAGCTTCACAGAAGAAAGAAATGATTCAGCTGATAAAAGATAAACAGGCATTTTTCAGCAAAACAGAGGACTGAGGGGGAGGTGGCTGGAGATGTATAGATGAAGTTACTGCATGACTTTAGAGAAGGCATGAGAAAATAAGGTGTGTTTGGGGAACATCAAGTAGTTTGGTATGGTGGGAAAAAGGAAAATGTAATAAAAGGATAATGAGAAGCCCATTCTAGAAACTTTCTTTAAGCTACTATTTCCACGTTGGTCAGCCTCAGCTCCTACTCACCATTCTAGACCCAGTTGTGACACCTTCTCTGGTTCCTCCCAATCAAGTCTTGCCTCTTTCCCTTGGATTCCCATAATATTGCATCCTAACTTCTTCCATTTATCACTTTATAACTTGGGTGGCAGTATGGCAGAATAGATTTTTTATAAGTAGATGTAATAAACTATTAGTAGGTGATCATCTCTTCCTCCATTTACTGCCCAAGTGACCATCAGCGGACCCCTCCTTCTCCTAGATGGTGGCTTCCTCATTTATAGTGTGGTTGCACCTTGGAAACACAGGAGACTTCTGCAAACTGTAAAGTGCTAAATAAGTGAAAACTAACATTTGAATGGTACTTGGTAGAGATTTATAACTTGAGGAAACACCTAACGTCCTACAAGGTTTTGCTTGTTTGCTTAAGTATGTTCCTTACTGAACTAAAATATAACTTGAGATCAGACAGTAACTGTATCTTGTGCATTTTTATATCATCAGCACATAAACAGTATTCAGTATATGTTCATAAAATTAAATTGTCCCACTGAAGTTGACAAAAGATCTGATCACACTAGCACTGATTATTTGTAATCTACACACTAAAAAATTATGGCTCAGCTCATATTGTCCCTAAAAAGTCACATTGGAATATTTAAGCATTTTTGATATGCAAGATATCAAAAGAAATTCAGAGAGTTTTACTTGTTATTGAGTGAGAAACAAATGGTGAACGGGGGTACTTCAAACCTGAAACTGATACAAAGCTCGGAGGCATGCCATTACAGGATGCCTTATAAAGTGAAAATGAGGAAGTTGCTGAACCTTTACAATGATTGGTTATTAAAATGGGGGTTTTCAGACAGCAGGGGATTGGTTAAAACTGATTATCTTATACAATTTTAAGAAGATGCTTAAAGTTTCACTTATGATTATCAGAGGCATTTGCAAGAAATAACCTAAGTTTTGTTTACATTCATGGATTAAACTAGATGAAGTTTTGCTTATGTGGCTTAACTAGTTTTGTTTGCTAGGGAGAGCTTCAAGCCTGGTTTCCATTTTATTTAACTTCAACAAATGATATTAAAAATATTCAAGGTAATACTAAATTATGTTGTCATTGATCAAAATGATTTTGAAACTTTTCTTTGGAGTTACTTTAAGGATGTGGCATCTTTTTATAAGACTGTCCTTCATGTTGGAAAACATTCTTTGAGGATGAACTTATTTTTAGAAAACAACTAAAATTATTATAAGCCAACTATGATACTAATTTAGTTTAAAATGATACTTTAGAATGAAATAGTGAATATTATGTTATTTCTCGAGCTTACTTGAGAGGCAAGCAATGCATCCGTATAATCCATCATGGCCTGCTCTGACTGGCACAGTTGACTGAGCTGGGCACCATCAACCATAGAAATTTTGGTGGGTAATCTAAAATCTACCATTATAGAACTTTCAGATAAGTCAGTATTAAGCAAATATTATTGGCCCTTGTTTCTAATAGTAATTATAATAGAGTTTACTGAGGTAAATTAATGCATCTCTATGCTTGTTTCTCAAATCAAATACCCCTTCTCCTCCATCAGGATTCCTGTGGGCTCTAATAAAAATTTGATGGTTTTCACAGCTTAATTTCTATCTCTGTAACTAGAAATCTTGGACATATCTCTTTATACCTTCAGTTCTTCCAGATTTTTTCATACCTGCCCTGTCCTGACTTCTCTTTAGAGCCATAGTATTCAATACAATAGCATAGTAGACAGAATAATGTTCCCCCCTAAATATGTCCAAGCCCTCATTCCCAGAACTGGTGACTACATTACCTAAGATACCAAAAGGGAACTTTGCAGATGTGATTAAGGACCTTGAGATGGGGAGATTATCCTGCATTATCCAGGTGATCCCATTGTAATCATGAAGATCCTTATAAGAGAAAGAGGAAGGCAGGAGACTTAGAATCAGAGAAGGAAGCGTGACAATGGAAGCAGAGGATGGAGTGATGTGGCCATGAGCCAAGGAATGTGAGCAGCCTCTCGAAGCTGGGAAAGGAGAGGAATAGATTATCCCCTAGAGCAGGGGTAGCAGTCCGTGGCCTGTTGGGAACTGGGCCACATAGCAGGAGGTGAGTGGCAGGTGAGCGAGCAAAGCTTCATCTGTATTTATAGCCGCTCCCCATCGCTTGCATTACCGCCTAAGCTCCGCCTCCTGTCAGATCAGTGACAGCATTATATTCTCATAGGACTGCCAACCCTACTGTGAACTGCCCAAGTGAGGGATCTAAGTTGTGAACTCCTTATGAGAATCTAACACCTGATGACCTGAGGTGGAGCTGAGGCAATGATGCTAGCTCTGGGAAGCTGATGCAAATACAGATTATCATTAGCAGAGAGGTTTGACTGCACAGAGACTATAATAAATCAATTGCTTGCAGACCCGTATCAAAAGCCTATCAGTGAGTGGCAAGTGACAATTAAGCTGCATGTGGTGTCTGGCTTTATAGTGGAAAGTGAGTAGATGTACTTCGATTGTACATTGCATCTGGTGTCAGGCTTTAAGTCAGAAACCGACATTTATTTTAGTCCGCGTGTGGCGCGCCTGTTATTTTATTTACCGCTTCCATCTGCACCTCTTTCCTGCACCGCGCACTTGTCTCAGTCACAGTTTTCGTAAGCCATAAGCTAACCCTAGCCAAAATTATTAAAAAAACAAACGTCGCTGGAGAGCTTCTTTGTAAAGGGAGAAAGACCCAATAATGAGACAGTAGAAGACCCTAAGACTGCCAACAAAAAGAAAGCTGCATTTAAAAGAAAATATCAAGAGTCCTACTTAAATTATGGGTTCTTTGCAACAGGTGATTGACATTCTCCAAGCCCGCTTTGTATAATATGTGGCAACAAGCTATCCAACAAAGCCATGAAACCTTCAAAACTGCTTCACCACATGGAGACCAAGCACCCTGCATTAAAAGACAGGACTTTGGAGTTTTTCAAAAGAAAAAACAATGTGGACAAGAAGAACAGAAGCAATTATTGAAGGCCACTACTTCATCAAAATGTCTGCACCAAGAGCAATATTCTTAGTGGCTAACCACATTGCCAAAGCTAAGAAGACCTTTACTATTGGTGAAGAGTTTATCCTACCTGCTGCTAAAGACATTTGTCATGAACTTACAGGAGACGCTGCAGTTCAAAAGGTGGCACGTGTTCCTCTTTCAGCTGGCACCATAACTACACAAATTGATGGAATAGCAGAGGATACTGAGGCACAATTTTTAGAGAGGATTAATGAGTCACTGTGGTACACAACCCAGGTTGACAAGTCTACTGATGTTGACAACAAGGCAACAATGCTTGTTTTTGTGTGATATATTTTTCAGAAGGATGTGCATGAGGATATGTTATGTGCACTTTTGTTGCCAACGAACACCACAGCTGAAGAACTGTTCAAGTCTTTGAATGATTACATATCAGGAAAACAATTAGTCATTATGTGTTAGTATATGCACAGATGGAGCAGTTGCCATGACTGGACGGCTTTCTGGTTTTACTTAGGTCAAAGAGGTTGCTTCTGAATGTGAGTCTATGCACTGTGTCATCCATAGAGAAATGCTGGCTGGCCGAAAAATGTCACCTGAACTTAACAACATTTTGCAGGATGTGATTAAAATTATCAACCACATTAAAGTATATGCCCTTAACTCACGTCTGTTCGTGCAGCTCTGTGAGGAGAAGGACGCAGAGCACACACATCTTCTCTTACACACAGAAGTGAGATGGCTTTCTAGAGGTAGATCACTGGCCAGAGTTTTTGAGTTATGAGAGCCACTCCAGAGATTTCTTTTAGAAAAACAGTCACCCCTGGCAGCATATTTCAGTGACACAGAATGGGTTGCAAAACTTGCTTACTTGTGTGACATATTCAACCTGCTCAATGAAGTCAATCTGTCACTTCAGGGGAGAACGGCAACTGTGTTCAAGTCAGCAGATAAAGTGGCTGTATTCAAAGCCAAACTGGAATTATGGGGGCAACGAGTGAACATTGAGATTTTTGACATGTTTCAAACATTAGCAGAGATTTTGAAAGAGACGGAGCCAGGGCCTTCTTTCTCCCAGCTGATGCACGATCACCTATCCCAGCTTTCAAAAAAGCTTGAGCATTACTTCCCAACCACAAAAGACCCCCGAACTGGGAAGGAATGGATCCGTGACCCATTTGTGACTAAGCCAGGTGAATCGACTTTGTCCGTGCTAGAAGAGGATCAACTGCTTGAGATCGCAAATGACAGTGGCTTTAAAAGTATGCTTGAGACGACTTCAAATCTCCATATGTTCTGGATTAAAGACAAGACGGAATATCCTGAGATTGCCACAGAAGCACTGAAAAACCTGCTTGCATTTCCAGCATCCTATCTTTGTGAAGCAGGCCTTTCTGCAGTGACCGCAACCAAAACGAGATTACGAAGTAGACTGGACATACGGGACATACTTCGGGTGTCACTGTCTCCCATCTGCCCAGATGGGATCATCTAGTTGCAGGAAAACAAGCTCAGGGCTCCCACTGATTCTGCATTATGGGGAGTTGTATAATTATTTCATTATATATTACAGTGTAATAATAATAGAAGTAAAGTGCACAATGAATGTAATGCGCTTGAATCATCCCGAAACCACCCCTCCTCCCCGGTCCATGGAAAAATTGTCTTCCGCAAAACTGGTCCCTGGTGCCAAAAAGGTTGGGAACCACTGTTTTAAACCACTAAGTTTGTAGTAATTTGTTACAGCAGCAATGGGAAATTAATTCAGGTAACCACTAGCCTCATGTGTTTATTTAAATTTAAGTGAATTAAATTTAAAAAAATTTAAATTTAATGTTTCACTCTAGCTATATTTCAAGTCCTTAATAGCAACCTGTGACAGTGGCTACCATATTGGACAGCACAGATTATAGATCATTGCTGAAACTTCCATCCAGCAGCATTGGATTGTGCTGTTACAGAGGTCTCTTTGCCTTACCCCAGATATCCTACCACCAGAGTAGACTTAGTAAAGCTAAAATAAACAAACTCCCTTTAACTCCAAACCTCCTTTTCAATGGCAGTGGCCCAGAAGACTATCCAAAGTAGTAGATGTGATCTCGGCTCAAAAATTTATTTGATACAATTATTGCAGGAATCAAATGGCAGCCCACAGACAAGGGATGGGAGAGACAGTCCCACTACAAGTCCTGCTCTTTAGTAGCATCCCCTGCATGGAAAGAATCATAGAGAATGTTCAAGTGGGATGGAAGTTCACACATCCCATGAGGAACCTCTCTATCCTAACTCTAAGTTCAAAGTATTTATTTTGTTTTCTCCATGGCTTATAAGAGTTGGATTGTTTGTTTATTGTTAGGCTGATGATGTTTCTATACCAGAACAGTAGATTGGGTTCATTGGTGATGTCTTCCATTTCTTGATATCCTAAAACTGAAGAGAGATATGTTGGGCTTTTATCTAATTCCGTTCTGAGTAAAATAAAAACTGGAATAATACATTCTGGAATTGTTTTCCACTAACTCCTATAAAAGAGGTTCCTCTTTTGTACTCCTCAGTTTATTCACAGTTTAAAACGTAGCTGAGAAGCATTTCAGTAGATAGAAACTAGCTCTAATTGAATATTTTTCAGCCACAGGAGGTGAACTTTCTCCACACGGTAAATATAAGCCAGGTGGATTCATTGTCTTAAGAGGAATCAGACGTTCAGATTCATGCGCAAAGACTCAGTTCAACATGATGTGCTAAGCAAGGGGAAATATTTTTTTAAGTCATGAAATATCTGAATAAGTAAGACAATTTTATGAAAATGTGTGAAAATGTATATCATAAGCATTAATATGCATTCATATGAACGTATGCCCAACATACATATGGTTACCGAAGAAGACCACTACAGGCATACCTTGGAGATATTGCAGGTACAGTTCCGGACCACTGCGATAAAGTTAATATTGCAATAAAGCAAGTCACGTGGATTTTTTGGTTTCCCAGTGTGTACAAATATTTTAAGCGTGCAATAGCATCATGTCTTTAAAAATGTGTGTACTGTGATTTTAAAAATACCTTAAAAATGCTAACCATTATCCGAGCCTTCAGTGAGTCGTAATCTTTTTGCTGGTGGAGGGTCTTGCCTGGGAGTTGATGGCTGCTAACTGGTCAGGGTGGTGATTGCTGAAGGTTAGAATGGCTGCGGCAGTTTCTTAAAATAAGACGACAATCAGTTTGCTTCATCAATTTACTCTTCCTTTCATAAACAATTTGTCTATAGCCTGCAATGCTGTTTGATAATATTTTATCCACAACAGAACTTCTTTCAAACTTGGGGTCAATCCTCTCTAACCCTGCTTTACTTTATCAACCAAGTTCATGTAATATGCTAAATCCTTTA